TGCACCTTCCGCCCCAAGATCCACCCGGCGCCGGCAGCGGTGCCTGTGCACGAGCGCCTCTCCAAGCCGCGCCACACGATCGTGGCCGAGCGCGCGGCCGCAAAGGCCGCCAAGGAGCTCGCAGGGTGCACGTTTCGCCCTACGATCCACGCGGCGCCACGCAAGGCGGCCGTCACATCGCCTCTGGCGACAGCGTGCCCTCGCCCGAGTGCGCTCGCTCGGACCGTCGAGCGCATCCTGCGCGACGCACGCAACAAGCAACGCGCGCACCAGGAGACTCTCGATTATGAACCATTCATCTATTTAATAATACCACAAACAACATGCATCTAATCAACTTGTAATGAAATGTACTTTTTGCGACGTTTGAACTGATAATGGTAGATGCTAACAAACGTGCTAAATGTACAAGTCTTAAGCGGGCGCTGCAAAGACAGATCCAGTGCAGAGTCTTCATTAGCCTGGACCGCGTACACCTGGGTAGGTGTGAGCGGGGGTACCGTTGCCAGCTTGGTGCAGACGCGCTAGAGCAGGTGCGCGACGTCGCCATTCGGTGCCATGTGGTCGGCCGATAGACTCGACGCCGAGGCGTCCAAGAGCACGGCGACGCACTGGAGTAGCTCGCTTGGTGTATCGTGTGGCATACCATACGGACCGATGAAATAGGCTGCGTACAAACGAGCTCGAACTACAATCCTGGCCCGACTTGCATCTACCAGCGTCCACACACATGACACGCACGACATGATGTACATGACGTGGCACCAGCTCCGAGCTTCGAGCTTCACTCTCCAAGACGTCGATCCACGGCCGTCGCAGAAACGAATCACTTTGTCCTAGTCTGTGGACAAGTAAAATGTTCGGCCATCGAGCAAATACAGGTTATGAGCTCAAGAGAAGTGCCCGCAGGAGCTGTGCCGCATGGCACGAAGTCTCTTGACTCTATGAAGACGTTGCGTAGCCCATACAAGACGTGCGCCGAGCCTCTCGTCCACAAGCCCGTCCCCGACGAGCGTCTCCCCCCACCAAAGTTGCGTGCGTGAAGACATGCGTGCAGCCCTGGGTGACCGATTGGTCGACCGCTGCAAATCACAGCGCGTCCCATTGGGCAACTCCACGCAGAGCCCCACGCCTGGCTTACGAGGCCAAGCATGCACTCAACGAGGCGAGGCCGTCGCTACTGATTGCATCCCGCTGACGGTCCGCTCTTGAGTTTTCAAAGTCGAGTGTTGGTCGAGCGCGACCGACATCTACGACCGTGCACCTCCCACAAGATCCTTCAACCAAGACCAAGACCAAGAATCTGACGCCAGCGAAGAGGCTCACGCGCTCGCCCCGCGAGTCCCAGGTCAACGCCGCAGCCGCGATGGACCTCGACAACAAGCTGCGCGTACATACGATCGAGGTCGACACCGCCTCACCTCGACACGACCACCCGCGCAAGTGCAGCGCGTACCAGGTCCTTTTCTCGAGTCCTCAAGGTGGCTACGGCGACATGGTCTGCAACCAGTCGCCGAACCTCCAGAGTTTTCGCCTGGACAAGTTTACCGGCGAGGCAAGGTGCCCCGGTCTCGGTTCACTTTTCGCCGACCACATGGTTCAGTTCGACGCCGCAGTGCACCGCAACGAGTTCTTCCACTGCACGACGTGGACGGACGAGCACATCTACCATGCGCTCAAGACGTGTCTCGGCCCCGAGCCCGCCGATTGGGTATGCGCGAACGAGGCCGTGTGGATGGCCGCTCACGACCTCATCCTCCGCATCACCGAGCACTACGAAACTCGAGGACGACCAAGTTTTCGCCCTTATGCGCAAGGCCAAGCGCTACGGCGATACGTGGGCCTTGCACGCTCATTACACGCGCAACCTTCCGAGTATCATCCCGAGCAGCACCGTCCTCGACATCTTTTGCAGCTACGCGTGTCCCGAGCACTTGCCGTTGCTCCTTGGCCACATTGATGAACGCCGGCGCAACGATGCCGCCATGCTGGACGAGCTCGTGCAGCGCCTTGTCACCGTTACGGCGCCAGGTTTCTCTTGCAGACTTTGGTCGAAGCGACAGCCGCGCAACGACTGCCGCCACGAGATTATGCCGTGCGCCAGGACGAAGCGCGCGAGGCTGCGCACACAACGCGAGTGCGACGTGGACTAGAACGGCACGCACCATCGAGTCCGACGCCATGGTGATCTGCGCCAAGTGTCAGGACGACGACAAGTGCGACGCCAAGCGCTGCAACGAACGCTGCGCCAAGCGGGAAGACGAGCGAAGGTGGAACCATGAGCATTGCTACGTCCACTGAGTCCAACCCGCCGAGGACGACGAGTGTCCCGACGGCCAGAGTCGCGACGTCGAGCGCCAGGTTGAACAGCGCGATGACGATGATCCGCGCCAGGACAACCAAACCGGCGATGACGACCAGCACGATGACAAAGCCCCGCGCCAGAACAACCAGGATCAGGACGACACCCCGCGTGATGACGCGACGAACCAGGATGACGCCAAGCGCCAGTCCAACAAGCGACGCGACGAGCGGCGGTACCGCAAGGACGACTGCATGAGCATCCACGCCGATCTCGCTCCTCGCGGACCAGGACGAGGAGATCATGTACGACCTCAAGTAGTACCTCGAGGCGTGCGAGACGCCCGTGCCAAAGGAGCTCGCACACCATGCGATGGCCAAGGCGCCCGCCGGCGCGCGCGACGACAAGGGCAACGTCATCGCCAAGACGAAGCGAGACACCATCAGCTACTCGTAGTAGCCTCGCAACATATATATAATATATTGCCAGCTACTCGACTCGTAAGCGATCAGTACGACGCATCGCGTGCACATGGCGTCAGAGGCTTAGAACCTTGGACACGGTTGTTAGCATCTAGCATTATCAGTTCAAACGTCGCAAAAAGTACATTTCA